ACTTCCCCCCTCCTTTTTCTTTTCTTTTCTTTTTCTGGGACGTCGGGAATGATTTGATGGGGCAAACAAGGGCACGGGAAGACGGGGAGGGGAGTTGAGGTTAACTGCTGCGAGTGGAGTGGGCTTCGAGGGGAAGCATACTCTACCTAATAAATGTATTAGAATATGGCACATATCACGGGAGATCCACGGACAAGGGCAGCGTAATATGTCCGAATCAGGATTTGCAGTTCACCACTTGGAGATATGCCTGGTTATTATTTGTCCACCCTTTTCTAATCTTCGGGGATTTCTTATCCACTCTATACGAACCAACATTCCGATCAAAGCTTCAGTTTGTGCTTCCGCAATTTAGCGCCAAACTTGTATATCAACAGAGGCACAGGGATAAGAGCAACGGCAATGAAGCCAAGCAAGCTGTTGCCCCAGCCGAGGCCGAGGGCCTGGTACATCTGGGGGCCGGCGAGGGGCAGGAAAGCGGCAATGACGCTACGGAAGACGGTGAAGGCGGCGAGGGCGGAGGCGGCATACTCGGGGAAGGCGTCGATGATGTAGGCCTGGATGGGCTGCCAGACGCCGACGAGACCAAAACCGAACGGGAGGAGGGCGGCGGCGGGGACGGCCCAGTGGGTGTGCGGGGCGGCGGCGGCGGCCCAGCCGTACCAGAAGAAGGCGACGGGGAGGAGGCAGGCGTACCAGACGCAGGAGGGGAGGCGCATCTCGGGGAGGAAGCGGCCTCCGTTGGCGGCGGTCATGCGGACGACGGTGCGGTCGGAGAAGAAGAGGAAAAGGACGAGGGAGGCGGCGTAGCCGGCGCCCATGAAGAGGTAGATGAGGCCGGTGTGGCCGAGGGAGAAGGCGTACTGCTGCTGGAAGACGAGGGGGATGGTGTTGAAGAGGAGGTAGAGGACGCCGTAGCAGAAGGCGATGTAGAGGGAGAGGGAGAAGAGGAGGGGGGAGAGGAAGAGGAGTTTGAGCGGACGGAGCAGGCCGCGGAGGAGGATCTGGGAGTTGGTGGGAGGAGAAGGGGAGGAGGAGGAGGAGGGATCGGACGGGTCGGACGGGTCGTAGACGGAGCGGAGGTCCGGGCGGTTCAGCTCACGGCGGAGACGGAGGGTCTTGCGGTGGATGAGGACGCGGGCGTTGGTTTCCCTTGAGAGGAGGGCGATGGCGAGGACGGTCGGGGCGGCAGCGATGAGGACGATCCAGGCGGTCCAGCGCCAGCCTATGTCCTGGGCGACGAAGGCGCCGATGAGGGGCCCGATGGTGGGGCCGATCAGGGGGCCGAGCATCCAGACGGTGATGGCCTTGCCGCGCTGGTGGACGGGGATCATGTCGGCGATGATGCCGCCCCCGATGGTCATGCAGCCGGAACCGCCGACGCCGGTGAAGAAGCGGAAGACGATGAGCGAGTTGAGGGACGGGGCCAGGGCGCAGCCGACGAGGAAGAGGCAGAAGAAGGCGTTGGCGGAGCATAGGACGATGTGGCGGCCGTAGATCTCGGAGAGGGGGGAGAGGAAGAGGGGCCCGACGGCGTAGCCTAGGAGGTAGATGCTGACGGGGAAGGACGGCATGGTCAGGTCGCCGTGCGGGTCGTAGCCGAAGTCCTCGGCGAGATGGCGGATGGCGGGGGCTAGGATGGTGGAGGCGAAGGGAGTCAGGAAGGTGATGGCGGCGACGCAGCTGACAATGGTCCACTTGAGCTTGGGGTTGAAGTTTAGCGGCATGTCGGGGTCATCTTGGCCATCCCAGCCGACGAGGCCCTTGTCGAGATGGGTGAGGAGGATGGGGTCCGAGACTGCGGGGACATCATCTCTCCGGGTGCGTCTCGAGCTGGCGATGGAGCGTCTACTCCTAGCTGTTGTGTGGGAAGGCTGTCTGCTGAGGACTCTCTCGGGGACGTCCTGCTCTCGGTGTAAGTAGATTTGCTACTCTAGTCTCTCCTTCTTTTCTTGTTTGTCTTGTTGTTTGTTCATTGTTCGTTTGTTGTGAGGAGTTGAAGCGAGGAGGAGGAAAGAGAAGAAAGGGAGAGACGAAAAAAGAAGAAAAAAAGAAAAAGAAAAAAAAAAGAAACCGGCTATACTTCTTCATATGGATCTGCTGGTTGCGACGGCTGAGGGTGATCTTGGTCCAGGGCCATTCTGTCTTGATCACAACTATGGCGGTCAGAGGGTGTGATGGATATGTTTTGCGCATCATCGAGTTCTGTCTTGGTGGATTTCGAAGAACCATCTCCATCCCTTAGTCCTTTCTCCGGATCCATCTCTTTTTCCCCGGGGCTCGACGGTGTACTGTTCTTGTCAAAAAGGAAAGACAGTGGGAAACAATCGACAGATGAAAAGCGAAAGTTCTCTGGGGGACGCTACGGCGAGACGGGCGTTCTGGATAAATGATACCGAGGGATCGGTGTCTTACATGTCAAATAGGGAATAGGCATGCTGCGGTTACGGAGTAGCTGATGCGGAGACCAGAGACCAGAGACCAGGGGTAGGACGAGGTGAGGGGTCCTGTTTGCACAGCGGGGAGGCCATGATTACAACGTATGTCCAGCAAACGGTCCCTGACGAGAAATTACAAATGGCAGCTGTACTCAACGTTCGCTGACTGGGGGAGTGATGGGAGGTTAGTATTGGACGAGTCCAAGTCAAGAAGACGGAAAACGGCAAGCTGGCACCCAAAGAGAAAATAAATAAATGAGACCAGCCAGTCGACAATGTTCCGACGTCTAACAGTGAGGGTTCGAACTTCTGAGCCAAGGAGCCGCTGTGGCCACCCTATTCCGAGGGCCGATAAGTCGGAGGAACAAAGGGACCACTCGGGTTGACGTGCCTAATAGCAGGCATGATGTGATGTGATGCATGGATTGCTGTCGAACGTATCCGTACTTCGTAATGAAGTAGTACGGGATAGTTAGTGTAAGGCTGGAACCGTCCGTTGTCGGCGTGCTGTGTTTGTTAACCGTTAGCCATCTTACCTCTACAGCAGGAATAAGTATAAGAGACGTGGAAGGAAGCTCAGGCCTAGGATAGATGGAGGAGGTGGAGGAGATGAGGATGGAGAAGTTGAGCCGAGTCGGCCGAGTGGAGAATAGTTCGGAGCTTAGAGTTGGTTTACCGAATCCCCGGTGGTCAGAAGCATGTGACTTAGTACACGTGTACTGCTGATTTGGATTATATAATACAGTCTAGTCCCAAACAAGCACTTCTATACATTCGTATGTACTTGACTCCCACTCTGTGCCAAGAATGTCCGACACCTGGGTCCCGGGTGTGGTGATCTGATTCGTCAGAATTTCCGCCACTTCCACTTTTGGGTGCTCACTCGCTCTTACCCCGGATCCCTGCTTGGTCCCTTGGTCAGTGGATGCACTTAAATGCACTTAAAATTCCATTTCTTGGCATCCGACAAGAAACGTTGAGCTATCAAAGCTATCGTGTCCATTGCTCCATTGCGAGATATCATCATCTATTATCTTACAGCCCACAACCACACTCCCACTCGGGTTTCTCCTATATCCCCATTCCACCTTGGAACATCCATTCAGTCATTGTATTCGCTTATAATCCCTTCACGCGGCTTATAGGTTAACGGATGAATAAACCGACAGGTTCACAAGCACAAGTGCGCGGCGCATCGACCTACCTTCCTCTTCAAGCTTAACACTTGCCGATTCTTAATGTCTTCTATCCTGCCTTGTGAGGATGCGCCTTGCCATTGACAGCAATATCCACTAGTTTTCTTTTCTAGCTATTCCCCTTCTTTCTTTCGGGGCTTGGGTGTCTCTTGGTTTTTGCTCTGATGTCCCCTATTTCTTTTCTTCTCCTTGTAGGTTCTTTCTCTCCATCTTTCCCAGAGCCCAACACAAACACGCGCTTTCCTCAAATCAACAGATCACCAGACCACACAAGAGATCATGGATACGAATAACTAATAATTCTTTCTGTCGCCTATAGTTACCACCTTGATTGACACCGACTTATCTGCGCGCACCGATCAGAGACCAGAGCAAGAATATTATCCCCAACAACACCACGATGGTTGGTCGCTCCCCCAAGCCCAAGACCGACGGGACATCCCTCTCCCGATCCGAGTTCCTCTTGCACACCTCTATTGTCTTTGCAGCAAGCGTCGTCCTTGTCAATACCTTTCATGGCGATGGCGAACCTCTTGCCGCCAACGTCGCCCTCGCTTTGATCGGCTTCTCCCTCTGCCATTCCATGGTGCGGTGGCTCGGTCCCACCTTCATCAAGGCTGGCTTTAAGGGTTGCGACCTCTCCAAGCCCCATCGCCCTGAGATCCCCGAATGTATGGGTGCTGTTTGCGCTGCCGTATACCTCCTCGTCCTTATCGTCTTCATTCCCTTTCCCTTCTACAAGGATATCGTTGCCGCCACTAGTGGTGGTGGTAACCGCGATGTCGTCTACCAGGTCGAGCACGTACAGCAGGGTCGCCTCCTTCACCGGTTCCCGCATAGCAAGGTAAGACGAAAGCCGTCTCTTCTTCGCCCCCCCCTTCTCTTTTTTGTTTTATTTTTATCAAACCTGCTAATCTTGACCTCCCTCCCTACAGCTGGCCAGTTACCTCTCTGCTATCATCTCCCTACAGACCACCGCCCTCCTTGGTATCGGCGATGACCTCTTCGACATCCGCTGGCGTCACAAGTGGTGGATTCCCGGTCTGGCCGCCATCCCCATCTTGGTCGTCTACTTCGTCGACTTTGGCGTCACCTCCGTCGTCCTTCCCATCCCTCTCCAGCCCTATCTCGGCGAACTCTTGGACTTGGGGCCCTTGTACTACGTCTACATGGCCTGCGTTGCCATGTTCTGCCCGCAATCCATCAACATGCTGGCCGGTATCAACGGCATTGAAGTCGCCCAATCCCTCGTCATCTCCTTCCTCCTCGTCCTCAACGACGCTTTATATCTCCTGACCCCGTACCCTCACCCGGCCACCGATTCGCACCTCTTCTCGCTCTACCTCCTCCTCCCCTGGATCGGAGTCTCCGTTGCTCTTCTCCTCCACAATCGCTACCCCGCCCGCGTCTTCGTAGGCGACACCTACTGCTACTTTTCCGGCATGGTCTTTGCCACCGTCGGCATCCTCGGCCACTTTTCCAAGACACTCGGCCTTCTCCTCGTTCCCCAGCTCGCCAACGCTGCCTACTCCGCCCCCCAGCTGTTCGGCCTCGTCCCTTGCCCGCGCCACCGCCTCCCGCGCTTCAACCCCCGCACCGGCCTCATGGAACCCTCCGTCACCACTTGGCCGCCCGGCCGCCAGCCTCGTCCCCTCGTCGCCGTCGCCCTGCGTCTCTTGGCCCGCTTGCACCTCCTCCGCATCTCCGAGGATGAGGACGGCAACATCACCGAGGCGAGCAACATGACTCTCCTCAATCTCTGGCTCGTCTGGCGTGGGCCCCTCCGCGAAGACCGGCTAGCACTGGAAGTTACTATCCTCCAGCTGGTCGTCGGTCTCTTTGGCCTCTTCGCCCGCCACTGCCTCGCACTTCTTATCTTTAAGGAAGATAACTGGGCTCTCGCTTCAGCTACCGAAGTTTCTTCCTAGGTTGGGCGGCCAAAAGAAGTAAAAGGGAAAAAAAGGAAGAAGAAAAAAAACAAGAAAAAGAAAAAGAAAACAGAAGAAACTCGATGCATTCCTGTGTCATTCTACACTTGTGTTGTCCTACCTCCCGGAGATGCCCCCTCCATACCGTTGGTGAAGGGTCCAGTGAAAAACCAGTGCAACGTCAAAAGTATATGACGACTCTGACCACAACACACATCACCAACACAGTCGGAGACACCTTTGGCGCGATGCCTTGCTCACCGGTGCAAAACGAAGTGCCACGCGTACTCTCCCCCCTCCTCCACCCTCACATCGCTGCTCTGTGTGCCGAATGCCGACGTGGCGTCACATACGAGGGGCAGGTAGGTGGGCGAGTGAACCCATCCGCAATGGCTGAACTCTAGAACCCGCCTGTCCGCTTGACCAAGGACTGCCTACTGACACGAGAAGCAATTGGGACCACCTATTGGAGGCATAGCCGGCTTTCTTCCGCAGATACGACGATACGACTCAAGTCTCGTTGCTTCACTCTTCTCACGACATACCCAGTATGTGGATCCGGTCGGAATAGAGCAAGGTTCATTGTCCTTAGACGGATGGATATTTATCATTGTATATACGTAGGTAGAGCCTCAGCAGGCTAGCTGATGCTCATAAACTACTCGACGTGGTCGCACAGCATGATCTGCACTTGACTGGGCGAGGTTCACGTCGGATATAGGGCAACCGGATTGGAGAGAGCATAGCGAGAGTCAAGAAAAGGGCCAAATCGTGCCCCTGGACAATTCATCCATCGTAGATTTCGCATTTTGCCGTGGCCCTGCCCTGCCCTTTTCCATTCCATTCCATTGAACCCATCCCATGGCTCCCTCACACATCTGGTCCTCCCAGACAAGGTAGCTTCGGCTTGCGTGGATAAAAGGGAAGAAAAATAAAAGAAAACGAAAAAAAAAGAACCCCTGGCTCCTCATACTCAATAAATCCATAGAAATACACAGAAGTTGCCGCCCCAAGCGCCTCTCCCAACCCCGCGCACGAGGATTGTTCCTCTTTCCCTTGTCCGTCTACCCCGCGGCGTTCCCCTTCCCATGGGCGCGACGGGCTGGAGCGAGATGCAACAAAATCAAATCAAGAAAGGTTTTGCCAACCAAAAAGCCCCCTTTTTCATGACGGTCCTTTTTTCTTTTCCTTTCCTCATAGGAGAGAATTGCCCACGGACTGCACACGCTGCCAGAACCTGACTCGTTCGCCCTGAATCATCTCGGAGTTTCGAGATGCCGAAAAGCACAACAAACACCCCGACTCGTAGGTCCGCTAGCTCCCCTGTAACGCCCAGCAAAGAAATAACCGAAACGTGCAGGCTCCAGCCGATATTAAATTCCGTAAAGGAATCAAGAAGCCATGGCGAATCCCGTCTCCATGGTTCTCCATCATCAGACACGTTCGTCGTACTCCCACAGTATATTACAAGGATGAATCGGTCTTCTTAACGATCGTCAACGGTGAAATGGGACTGACTCCATTAGGCTGAGTTGTCATCGTGGTGGCAGCAATATCGCTCGACTTCTCCGCGGCTGGGACATCGACGATGGTCTCCAAAGGTGTCTTGGTATCCTCCGCCACTTTCAAGTTTCCATTCGGCTTCGGAACCGCCGCAGCCGCAGCAGCCGCAGCCTTGTTCATCCGGCTCTTGGTGTAATCGCTTAGACTGAGCTTCTTCTTGACTGGACTCGGTTGCGCAATGCCATTGACAGCAGCCGGAACAAACGGACTAGAAAGACTGTTCGAAGAGAGTGGCGACGGGATTAGGGATGCCGGTGCGGGCTGCGGCGGGGTGACATCTGTATCCGTCCATGTCGACGTCCTCAGCGTGGGGAGGACGGGCATCTGCACGCGTAAATGGGGTGCCTTGGCCTCCTCGGGACTGCTGGCGCCATTCACAACTGGTGCAGCGTCTGAAACAGGAGGCTTTGACCATGTTGATGACACCGTTGGTGACAGAGAAGGCGAGTCCGTCATCGCAACATCGCGCGACTCGGAATTCGCTAGAGACTCCGGAGGTTTGGGTTCTTTCTCTGGAGCGGGGACGTTCGCTCCTGGCTGCTGTCTCTCACCTGAGTCGTCGAGATCCATGGTGTCTGCTGACGAAGGTTGGGCGACCATGGAAACATGTCGCCTCCGCCTTTCTTCCTCGTCGTATTGAAGACGATGACGGTTGTTGAGGAGACGCTGCGACAGGGAGATGACTCTTCGACGGGGTTTCGGCGCCTGAAGTGAGATACTGAACCATTCCCCCACAACAGGGTCCGTCTGGACGGAAGCATCACAGTATTGCGGTCGCGGTGCAGTTGATGCGGGGCGGGACTGCGACGCAACAGATCTAGACCCAGAAGTAGAAGGTTCGAAGGCATCCCGCCCGTGTGCCGAATGCGAGCTTGTTGGTGATCCCCATTTTTCTCTGGAAGTTCCCGCATCCACATATCGGCTCGGTCCGTTGGAGCCCGACCCCGCGCCAGTGGCCGTGCTTTTCGATTTGGATTTTGGATTAGGTCCGTCAGAGACGCGCTTCTTCTTGCGAGGGTGTTGTTCCATGCGGCGGAATGAATCCTCGACCATTTGCACCTTTCGTTTATCCCTGTCGGTCGGTTCGGTAAGAATCTCGGGCTGATCCAGTGACCCTTGCCGGAAAGGCGTCCTGTCCCGACTGGGCGGTTTACTTCTCTCAGATGCCGACCGGGCGTCGTGGTCCATTTCGTCAACGTGGCTCTCGCTGGCGGCACGGCTGTTGGAGGCATAGCCTGTGCTTGTTGGGGAGATGGTCTGCACTTTCGGTTTGCGCGCCTTCTTCTTCGTAGCCTGGGGTCGATGCTGCGTCCTTCCTTGATATTGCCGATGGAACCGCGCAAAGGCACAGTTGCTGCCAAGGTCGCAGGCACACCCGCCCGACTCGGAAAGCACACGGTGAAGCCACGCTGATATCCGCTGGTACTCTACCTCGTCCATATCCGGCTCGTCTCGATTGATTACTTCGTCATCGCTTAAGCCAATCAGATGCAACATTCGAGCTTTTTGCGTATTGGGTAATCGGAAATCCCACGGCAGCGTAATCTGCTCGTTCGCACCAATGTACCGATCGCTCACGAGCCAGAAGTGATACTCTGACGTGTTCGAGAGGTATGTATCTAAGACGGCGTTGGGCTTGCAACTCCGACGTACGTACCGCCCTGGCGACTTTTCGTTCCTAGTATCGATGCACAATGGTAACATCGGGTGGAAGAAAACGAACGGCAACGGAGTCGATAGTTCTTCCCACATGCTTTCGGGGTCGGCGCAGTAGTCTTTTTGGAAGCCAATCTGGCCATGTAGCTCCATCAGCGGCACATCCTTTTCGATTGCGACTGGCGTTGCAAGGTATTTCCAGCGGATGAGGACGTTCGGTGTCGGCGAAAGCAGCTTCTCCTGGACAACCAGTTCCCGCTTGCGTGTATCGATGTCTGCAGGCAATTCCTGAAAGACATCGCTAAACGAGTGCCCGGTCTCTTGCTTCATCCTTTCGGGATCGCGAAGCCATAGGGACATGGCATTCGATGTGGCCAAACTAGAGAAGGAATTGCTCGGAGTCTTACGGGGATCTGGATCTGGTTCGTTGCCGTAGAGAGTTAAAAACCTCGCCGAATACCCATGGATTTCAAAATCATTCGGGAGTTCAGGAGGCGTGAATGCGGGACTTGGAGGGTGACCGTGTGCTCGGCTGTTGCCATGAGACGGACTTCGTTTGTTCGCCAGGGAGCTTGTTGAGTGTGATGGTCGGTGGGAGGACTTGGACTTCTTTGTTGGGTGAAGATGATCAGAAGTGTTTCCTTGTTTGTTATTTTCCTGGTGGCCAGCGTGACCATTCAGGTGCAGGTCGGTCGGCTTGGGCTTTTTCTTATGGCTGTTTTTGGAGGGGGGCCTCTTGGACTTCTTGTCCGGGGCTTCTTCGGGGGCAGCAGCAGCATCCCTGAGCCGTTTGGTGCGTTCGATGGCCTTCTGTATATCCAAGTGACGGGGCTTGCACTCAGCACAAGAGTGTGCAAAGTCTTCGCGGAGTGCCTCCTCACGACAGTCGGGGTAAAAACATTCAATGTGCTGCCACGTATCGCAAGTCTCGCAATAAATCGTGTTTCCATCATCATCAGAGAAGTTGCAGATGCACTTAATCGTGTATGGCTCTTCATCCGTCGGGGCGTCGGTCTTGCGCGAAGCGTCGGGCTGAGAAGCGGTGACGGTAGGCGCAGAAAGGGTCTGACTAGGAATCGCGATCTGCGTCGAGGACTGCTGATGCGGCGGTTGCGGCTTTTCTGTCATAATCTAAAGGGTGACCTCGCGTTGAGGGAAGAAGATGAGAGGGAAATGTTGGCAAGCTGATTACCGTAGCGGCCTGGAAAGCATGGCGACGCCTGTCCAGACGCGCGCCCACGGGTAGGTCAGGTTGGTTATTCTCTCAGTGCTAGAGACCCGAGGCACTGCGATCATCCGTGGCGGTAATGGTCGTTTTGGGTGCTTGTGGTATGTAGGTTCGTTGTAGAATTCGGGAATCGAACGTGAGACGCCTCGATTCGGTTGGGGGCGTCGGCGTCGCTCAATGTGAACAGATCGAACGAACAGACAGGAGTAGAATCTGGCTGCGTCGACTTGTTTATAAAGGCGATCTGGATTATCAAGGAAGTAATTTTCAAGGCGCGACTCGATTTCGTCCACAAGTGTGTCGGAGAAAAGTCTTTCGTGGCTGGTGGAATGGGTCGAACCGAGGACGAGGACGAGGACGACGAGGACGAAAAACGCGGTGTCGAAACGACCAAAGTGCCGAGTCGAAGCGGCGCGAAGACAAAGGGAAGGATTAAATCGGTGAATTGCAGTCAGATCATAGAATTAGGGAATGCGGGACTGACGGAACGAATCTGACCGTAAAACAAGGCGAAGAGAGGTGAATGTGAAAAGGTGGATGGGGGGGGTGAGAGATTGAAAGAAGGGGAGGAGGAGAGGTCCGTGGGAACAACAGTGGAGGAATGGGAAAAGGAACCAAAGCCAGTCAGCGTGTGGGACAGTGGGAGGACTGGGCAAATGCGCCGGTAGACTTTTGTTCTATGGGGAAAGGGTGGGGGGGAAATGCCCGGAACGAGAAAGTGCCGTCAAGAAGAGTACAGGAAGAGTTCCTGTACTGACTGGGTGTGGCTGGAAGGGGGTTTACTGCGTTGCAGGTAAGTGTTGGGGGGCTATAGTGCTCGCCTCCCAGCTCCCAGCACTACCGGCACCCGAATAGTGCCAGGCGCCGGGTACTGGAGCCTAGTGCGGATGGGCATTGGGGCGATGAGTCGAGAGCGGCGTAAGCCCGGAACAAAAGGAACCTAGAAAACAAAATATGAAAAATAATAATTAGAGAAGAAAAAACCCGGAAGATGCCACTGCTCGGCGACCGGCAGAGGTACCTATACTTTCCAGCCGCTAATCCCGAAAAGGCGGTGGACTCTGATTTGGTGGACGGTCATAGCCAATGAGAGCGTTGAAAAAGGGGAGGGGCATTTTTATGCCTCAGGCCGCGGTTTCAGGCCGGATCTTGCACTTGACGTTTACTGACGTCTGTATACGAAAAGAGAGGCCGTGTGCGGGAAAGAAACGGAGAAGAGGAGGGAAGTAAAATATGACGAACGGCTTTCCGTCGCGAGTGCAAGAAGTCGGTGTTTGATCGCTATTATCAAGAACTTGGTAAATATAATGTAAATAAACGAGAGGAAAATGAAAGTGTTTGGGTGAGTATCTTCATTTTGGGACTGGTGGCAGCCTGCGAAAGAGGGCACTGGCAGAAGGGTTGCAACGTATCGAATGGATGCAGCCAGGGCTAGCAACAAGAAAGACTGAGGCAAATGGGACAATATGGAGCGAAAGGATTGTTGTGTAAGAAAAGAAAAGAAAAAGAAGACCACAGAACGGAGCAAATGCTAGGGACGAGGTCTCTGGGGAACGGAGCTGACTGGCTGCAGCAGACAAAAGCTGATGGGTATCCGTAGAGGAAACAATATGGAGTCAATACAGAAACCCACAGCGAACTTCAGGCATTGGAGATGGCGGATGGCGTATACCTAAGTGGCTGTAAAAAGAGAAAAGCCGAGGGATTGATGCCTGGCTGACCTCGTTCCTAAGGTAAGGGGTACCTTACCTCACCTGGTAAAAGGCAATACCTCAGGAACCTTATCTACCTATCTGTACGAATAGTTGTGACGCGCCTAGGTAGTACTTGCGTGGTTTCGCCTTGCATTTGTATAAGGTAGTGAGTTCCAGCCACGGCCATCGCCCAGTCATCACTACTCCGTCTGCGGTACCTGTACATCCTGCGAATCGCCACTTTCTTTTCCTTTCATTGGACAGGATTCGGAATTAGAGCATCCTGATGCTTGCTGGCTCCATGACAATGGTTGGTGTTTTGGCTGAAATGAATATTGCCTTGCGGTTACTATTGTTACTTTGTACGAAGTACTTCGTATACATAGGTACGAAAACATACGCCAGTCATCATCTAAGGTACCTATCGACCTGAGTGCCGGCTGTCCTGGTAGTTGTGACAAGCGCGACAAAACAATAACAACAACAACACCACATATTCGAGACAAAAACGCGACTTTTGCTCGAGTTCTAATAGAACGAGGTCCGTAGTTAATAGGAAGAAAAGGAATTGGGATTCTTCGCTGGAGTTTCTTGGAGGCAGAAGCAGATAGAGACAAGTCGGCCAAGTTATACGACGCAAGTTACACGAAAGTACGAGTTGCACAAGTCCACAAGTTGTTGGGGGCAATCCTCGGCAACTGAACGTGCGCCATGTTAATAAAAAGGGCCAACAATGCTCCCTGGGGGCTCCGTGTGAAGATAACCAGTCGGAACCACTTTCGAAAGTCTATTTATGTCGTAGCACGTATCTACCCTGTAAAAGTACTGCATACTAATGGGCTGAGTACTGTCGAGTACCTTGACTGTATCCTGCCTTTCCTCCGCTAAAAGTTTAGTACTATTCGTACGAAGTACTTGTACCCCTCATTCTTCCACTTTTCGCCGTTGTAACAGCCACAGCTGAGCAGATATGGAGTGCTTCGTACCTACGAACTGAGAGGTACGTATCCGTACTTTCGTTGGTTGTGCCCCGCGACGCCCGCACTACCGGTAATATTCGTACTTGGTTGCAATGCCACTGTGAAGAATTAGTGTTGCCATAAGCATATAACATATTTAATCATCGCCAGGTTTCCAGCCAACTTGCACGCTATTTCACGAGGGAGCCGATTATGTTATGGGGGTTATCTATCGATCCGAATGCAAAGATTGTCCGAGGTTCAAGCCTAAGTACCCTTTAGCACGTTTGCGAAGTCCTTCGTAGAATTGAGAACCCGCGCCATGCCTGGACCCGACTCTCGTGAAACTGATATGGGCTTCTTCAAGAGATACTGATACGAACACAACATATCGTCCTCACCCGGCTCGACCAGTCGCTCGAAGCAGGTGGTTGCACTTGGTCGACACTCCCTCCTTGGACCTGTTTCTAAGCAATGGGATCTGTGTGCTCAATTCGTTACTTCGTAATTCTCATATCGCTGACTTTTGTTCGACGAGACGGATGCTTATCATGTCACAGAGGGTCATCACTACCAATTACCTACTGTACACCCTGTACACACTAAGTACATATACACACCGCTAGACTCCAAGTACGGAGGAGTGGAGACGGAGACTCAGGACGGTCCGAGAAACACAGTGGGACCATGTCTTATATCTGGCGAATCAGAATGACCAACGGTAACCCCATGACGTGAACTCCCACTGGTGGCTCACAGCCCCAGCCCGGCCTTGTCACCACCACACTGCAACCGTTGCCTGCCCTCCACCGACCTTCCACGAGCCAGTCAGAGTGCTTCCTCCCTATCAGCATCAAGACATCTCGCTCCTCCCCATCGACTTCCTCTCCCGGTACGATAATTGCCAGCCGATATATCATCAAAAGGACACTTAGCAGGCCGCCAAACGCCATTTGCCTGTTGCATCCGCGATGAAGTTCGCCAATGCCGCCCTCGCTCTGCTGTCCGTCGGCTTAGTCCCAGCCTCGGCAAGGACCATCCCCGTCGAGAGGGACCAGAGCATCATCTCCGCCGATGACAACCTGAAGATTCCCGGCGACTCGCCCCTCGAACTATGCCCGGGCACTCACGACAGCGACATTATCCACATCGAGAGCGTTGACCTTGTGCCGAACCCTCCCGAAGCGTGCGTGTTCCATCCTCTCTCCCCCGTCACTCGATCTCATACCCTTCGTCATCGGTCCCAACAATACATGATACTTTTCAGAGCGTGATGGCAAATTGCAGAAACTGATATGTTTTCTTCTATGTTATGCAGTGGCAAGGACCTTGTGATCAAGGCCGTCGGAACCGTACACAAGACGATCGAGGAAGGCGCCTACGTCCTGCTGCAGGTCAAGTACGGCTTAATTCGCCTCATCAGCACCAAGGCCGACCTCTGCGAGCAGGTCGGGAACGTCGACCTCAAGTGTCCCATTGAGAAGGGCGTCCTGTCTCTGACGAAATCCGTCAGCCTCCCGGCCGAGATCCCTCCCGTAAGTAGAACCCACAAGCGCCTCCCTTGGATATACGTGGACATGCATGCTAAACCACACCGTAGGGCAAGTACACCGTCACGGCCGACGCCTACACCGTGGATGACGAGCCTATCACCTGCTTGACTGCAACTGTAGAATTCTCCCGGGGTGGAAGGGCTTTGGGCTTCCTTGGTGTTGAACTGTAGTTGTTGGACGAGGCGGGATGATTTGCTGCAATTTTTCTCTCCCATACATCACAGATAGCACACGGGCTGATGGTAGCATTTCCTTTTTTTTCTTCCCCTGATTGTTTTCAGCTTTATTTAACTCGCGGCATTATTATGGCATACCAAGGGTTTTGATTTGAGTTCTCGCTCTGTTCGTCGCAGACATTTCCTCCAAGCCATCTGTCCTGATAAGAGAGGAGGAAGGGGGCTGAATGATATTGTTCTCTTTGAGATCTATTCGTAACGTGTAAGGTCATTGGCATGGAATAAGATTGTTTATTATATACCCCTCCAGGATTGAGAGGGCTTCCTTGAACAAAGACTTTCTAACTCATCGAGCTTCCACATCCCCTGAATATCATGTCCGTCAAACGTCAAATCGATTCCTCCTCGGATCGCTAATACATGCCCATGTTTATTCGCCGAACAACCGCCGGACCCTTCTCAGTACGCTGTCCTTTTCGGGATCGTAAGGGTGGTCCTTGCTGGGGATCTCCAGCACTGCTGGAAATGCGGCAGTGTAGGTGTCGACGCGATACCGTATGCGATCCGCAACCTGTTATTTGTTTGTTGTCAGGATACAAAACTCCCGCGATAATCAGGGTGTCGGTTCATTCTCCAACGACATGGGGTTCCATTTATCAAGACGTACGTGCTGGTTGATTAGGACGATGCCAATGTCCTTGCGCTCTGTAAAACTGTCAAAAGCCGCCTCGATGGCGGAGGTCTCCGTCTTGCTATCAACGACGAGGAAGTTCTTCTGCTGGTCGGCCGTGGTGGTGACGTGCTGTTTCCGGAAAATCATCAGTCTCGTTTCCTCTCCGGTGGAACGGTGGAGATGTTGCAGAGTAAGACGGCTGGCGTGACGCACCCCGATGCCTGCTAATAGCAAGCCCGTGACGGAGTCCTGTATATCATCGTCATGGTCCGTCAGTAAACAAGTTGCATCGTGCCTCTCTTGCGTTGTACGATCAACTCAATAGACCCTGCAGATCACGAACCTCGTCGCCGATAACAGCAAGAAACTGCCGGTCCTTGTAATCTGCTTGGTTCGTCGCCATGGTGAGGGGGGAATCTGCGACGAGGGGCAGAGTCGAGGGTTTGCGATGTCAAGCAGTTGGAAGGTTTCCAGCCAGTTACCGAACCAACTTGCATTTGAGGTCGGATCCCGCTAGCACAGGCACTGCAGCGAAGTGAGGGACTGTATGGGGTGGGGAGTACCTACGAAGTACGGATACATCTGACCTTAAGTCTGTACGTATACGGTGGTGTCTTCCGTGAGGTAGGGGGTACATGCTTGGCGCTATTATCCACTACCGCCTTGAGGGCCCCACCTGGACGTCACCCCCTGGCGCCACGACCTGCAGCAAACAACAAAAAGTAAAAGAGCCTTTGTCGTGCAATAAACAAATTGCATTTCTACCTTCCCTTCCCGAGTTTACGGTGTCCCTTTTTTTTTTTTTTTTTTTTTCTCGACGCGACGACCGGACCGGACCTTGCTCCTTCGACCTCAGCTTAATCCCGTGATTTTTTTCTTCTTCAGGGGACGGACGAGTTGACAGGTTTCCCATGTCGTTGCTATTGGATACTTGTCCAGAAGAGTAACGAGATGCCTCCTCGCATTGTCCGGCGCAAGCCTTGGTCCGAAAGGATCAAGGCCATGCTGAACCCCATGGATTTCTTGCTTTGGCTGTCGGAGGAGCTGGAGACCAGGGACTGGGACTCCAAGGCTCTAGGAACTCAGTTGGGCCTGGCTTTCAACTTTGCCTTTCTGATCGCTCGAGCTAATAGCCGGGAGTCCGGGGGTCAAGATGATGTGTTTAGTGACTACAGCAGCAGCAACATGGCCACTTATTTGGTACGCAAAACGAGAGCGATCCTCTTCCACAATCTCTGGATCATCATTTGGTGCTAGTTGCAAAGAAGCGGTTGGATTCTACTGACACATATTAAGTTCCGAACGCTCGTTTGGATTCTCCTTTTCCTCTCCACCTCCAACGCCATCTACACCATGACGAGATCCCGACACTACCGACTATTTGAAGTCAACGTCGAGCAGCCCCCACAAACACCGTCTGCTTCCCGCGTCAAAGTGCAGTCGTCGCCAGTAGCTTCATCGCCGCTGCGGTTTCTGGCCAATGTGATGCTACCAGAGACTGCCGAGTCTAGGGCTCATCCGGATAAGACACGGGATGTGTGGGAATTGGCCGTCTGGGACCCGTTGCCCGTATCTCTCCAGCTCTTTGCTCTGTTCAGCCCGGGCCACGTCCTTGTGTATATGCTTTATTTGCCGCTGGTGCCGTTGGACCCGCGCCCCAGCGTGACGGTGTTCAACTGCCTCCTCCTCCAGGTCATCATGAGCGCGCAGCTCCTGTTCCTGCAGTCGCGATTCTCCCAGCAGATCAAGGACACGGCTATCATACACAAGGAGGTGCTCCATGAATACGACACCAAGTTCGTGCACCCTCGGCTGCACCCGGTTGTTCGCGACGTCGCCACGCAGACTTCGTCGGAGGACGACACGAACAAGGGAGGCTCCGTACAGCTAGGCACGCCGACGACGGTGATCAAGAAAGAATTCCAAACCTTTCCGAACCCGAACTACATGCGACACGTCGACCCCGATTACGAAACGTCGTCTCAATTACGACCGCAGGCGAACGTCATGAACCCCCGGCTCTTCACTCCGACGAATAAGACCCCGGCCCGACGATGGGGCACCGCCGCATCGACGACTCCACAGCCCGGCAGCCGTTCGAGTTCACGACAGAGCCTGCCGGCTGGCTATCAACAACACCAGACTATGCCGTCGGCGCCATCACCGGGTCTCGGCCTGAGCAGCGCGAAGAGCACGGGGACACAGTTCGGGGGCAGTCTCGGCGCGTTCACGCACGTCAACTCTCCCCTGAAGAAGGCTAGTAGCCTTCACGACATCGGGTCCGGTTTCAGATCGCCGAGGAACTCGAGAGAGATGGCGGCGATGGAACAGCAGAGGTCGAGTCCACTCAAGGAGCATAGAAGAGTAACGGTGGGAGGCGACGGGGTGGCCACAACATCCGGTTCTGGGGGGGTTAACCCTTTTGCCCAGGCACAGCGGGATAGGCTCACACAGGAGAGATATCCCAAGATGTGGACCGGATGGAATTGACGTCTTTGAAGTCTGTCTAGGCTGTGGCTTATACGTCTCTGTCTTATTAAGTCTGGGTATTAAGGGTCTCGTAGCGGAGTCTCGGATGGTGGCGTTTTTGCCCTTTTCTGCTTCATATTTTTTTTCTTCTTTCTTTTTGGCCGTGTTAGCATCGGGCAGCAGGGATACATACCCCAAAGACAAAATTGCACGGAACTGGACATGATGCTGGCACCTTGTTTTGAGCTCCTGGGTATGATGGATGATGGTGTTTAGTCGTATCGTACTTACTGTGTGTTGACTGTTCACCTTTGCGTTTTCTTTTCCCCTTCCCTCCTCTTCACCCCCTTTCTTCTTTGGATGGGGAGTCGAAAACTGAGATGCGACATTACCTTATCTAACCTTAGAGACAGTAAGGTACAATAGGTACCATTGCAGGTCTTGGAAAGAAAGGTACATCTTCCGTACTCTCCGTATCTCAATGCGGGTTGTTTCTTTCATAAGGTAAGGTACTCACGGCTTCGCCTTCCCCAGTTGAGCAGTTGAGTCTCAGGCTAGGAAGTAAGGTTAAGTAAGGTAGGAGTTTCTTCCGCGCTTTTCTTTTCCTTTCCTCGCTTCCTCTTTTTCTTCGAGATTCTCTTTGCCTTCCACCCGAGAGCCTGCATCACCAAGATATAAACATATGTCACTGGAATGCTTTACAGAAAAGTATAAGATTGTTTCAACTACCCGTATCACCACTCGTTTGCCGTTGTATGCCACAGAGCCGCAAGTGTGCACATTCATCTCTAACCCACCATTCTGACACCGTTAAACGTTAACGCCGTGACCTTTGGCATGTTCTATCACATCATCGACAGACTATCATCGTTCTCAGATCGTCTCAGAACTATCCCGCCTAGCCACCGCCCAATAAAGGGGGATAGACTTTACAGTCAACGCTGCTAGGAAGCAGTGGATGGCGCCATATCTGATACAGGACCTCCATCCACTCCATCCTCATCAGGCGCAGGGCTTGGCCAAGATACTGCTGGCCCAAGGCGATTTGACCTACACGTCTCATCCCTCCCTCCGCCTATCCCACCCTTTCCTCTCCCAGGTGCCCCTGGACTAGCTTCACGCTCTTACACCGAGAGACAGCAATCGCCTTATCTCAACCAGTTGTTGGTAAGCGTAGGACCTCGGACTGGACCTGGCGTTAGGGGTCGAGAAGAAGCCACAGATCAACTAGACGGCTGGACCATCGTTCGCGATATTACACCACCTGAACAGCAGCGAGAACAGGGCCATCATCACCCCCGCCGACTTCAACCCCGTCAGAATAGTAGCGGCAGCACACTTCGAAGTGACACTCAGTCCGCTGATGAGGCACGCCTGCCGACGCCCCTGAGCAGCTCTCAGAGCGACATCGGCCTCGACCCGCGGCATCGTCTCCAGCGACCAGCTCGATGCCCCCGCAACTTCCGCCAAGTTGACGCTGCGGCAGGATCATCCACGGAGCAAGGCGCCCGGGACATCTCCTCCGCGCGCGAACGTCTGTGTGTGGGTCTGAGAACCAGGAAGAAACCGAGAAGAGCTCTGGACACCCCTTTTCACGTCCCTAGGGACCAAATGCCCCCACTAACCCTTGCCAAGGGACGCTTCAATTTTACGGCAATGGAGCGATCAAGCCTGGACCGAGACAAAACCTCCACGCAAAGAGATGTCCCTTGCATTGGCACCTCTGTGTCCGAAGAAAGCAGCGACCCGGGTGGCGGGGGCGGCGTGCGAGAGAGGGTTCGAAACAGGACGGTCCAAGCCGTTTCTTTCTTAGGTGTACGTAGTCGTCGCGAAAGAGACCGCGAAGGAGACGGCGCAGATGCAAATGAGAAGCCGACAACAATCGCAAAACCCGGATCCGCCTCGGAAAACCTCACTGCCATTACTGCCGACTCTGACCAGGCCATTCAAAAGAACGCTGTGACCGGACCAACGAGGCATATGAATACCTCGACGACGAACAGCGTCCAGCCATTACCAACAGCCACCCGCGGGGCGGCTTCGATGCGCCTGCTCGGTATGACCAGGAAGCGTTTGGCCGCTCTATCGCCCCGCGCTCGGCCACACGATGCAACTCGACAGGCATACAGAGAGATGATGGCTCGGAAGAATGCGTCAATCGCCCAGGCACAGCGAGAGCAATGCGCACAGGAGGCGGTTCTCGTGGTAGAGACGCCAGCAGCACCACAAGAAGGTGATGGCGACACCAAACCGCAATTGGACGAAAACAGTGACTCTCACAGTTGCCTTGCCGTTGTGTTGAAAAACTCCATAAGGATCTTGGCCTGGCTCTTTAAATTACTCTGGTGGCTGATACGGTACTATTGGCGAGTTATATCCCCTTGTTTCGATGCTCAGTCTGGCATACGGCGGCGATACACCCGGGGGACAATAACATGGACCGACTTGATCGTGTTTGGAATGATGTATATTGTCGTGCTGGCGGCGCTGTCCATTGGGATCCATATTTGTCGGGGCATTGTCTGGGTTTGGCCGTATGTTGAAGCGGTACTGAGTCTCACCCCTGACGAGTAGTGAGGGAGAGGGGTGCGAACTCGGTATTTTCCTCACATAGACAGACCACTGACGACTCGAAGGCATTCCGTCATAATTCTAGCCACTCGATAGGTAGAGTAGGCAGAGAGCAAATAAGACCAAGTGAAGTCGAAGCCGAAGCCGAAGCCGAAGCCGCCATGTCCTCTAGACTTCCCTCAGCACGCCCACATGCACCACGAACCCAGACCCAAGGCGAAGTCCCTCAGATAACATGGAATCGGGCACCCTCCACACCCTGAAGTGTGCGTGGAAAGCCCTTAACCACGCCTCAAAAACCTCGGGGGCGCGAAGCTGCTGCGCAACAATGCAAACGCATGGTTCCGCCGCCCCCTCCCCGCCTCGGCCCTCCTCTGCCTCCCGAAGCCGAAGCCGGCACGCATCCGCACAGGTCTGGACGAACGGCCCCACGAGCGCCTCGTTGTAGACGCAATCGCAGGCCACCACGGCGTCAAAGCTCCGCCTGTCAGGCGAGCAGGTCAGAGCAGGCGTGACCTGGTCCAATTCCCAGTCCAGCGGGACGAAGTGGATCTCTCCTCCCCCGACCGCTTGTCCCTGCGCAGCAGCAGCAGCAGCAACAGCAGCAGAGCCGGAACCCTTCGTCTTGCGGCGCTTCCCCGAGGAGGAAGAGGGAGGGGCCCGGTTCTCGTCAAGGTTCATCCGTACCAGTTTACTCACGTAGGGCTGGTCGGTGAGGACGTACCTCCGCACACGGGATGCGGCGGCTAAGGCCGTTAGGGCGGAGATGCCGCATCCGAGCTCGAGGATCGACGGCGGAGAGGACGGGCCGGGGCGTGTGCTGGCCTCGCTTGCGGGGGATGGCAAGAACGGCTGGGCCAGGGGCGAGGCGAGCCATCCTGCGAATAGCGGCGTGATTTTCCACAGGACTGCGCCTGTCGTACCGCCTGCGCGGTCCGACGATAGGATCGCGGGCGACTGGTGGATGGTGAAGTCTAGCGTTGCTTCTCTTGCCGCTGCTCCTTTTGTTCCCGGACCTGTCGATTGGTTACCTGGGGGGATTGAGACAGAGACATCGAGGCTCTGTGCTTTAGGGTCGATGAAGCCTAGATTCTGCGAGGGGATCGGGTGGGAGAAGAGATCGAATGTTTCTGTTGGGTCATGTTAGTGCTAAATTTGACAGTTTCAAAGTCGTTGAAACCTTCTTCCGGGTCAAGGACCTCTTCCTCGAATGAGCTGAGAAGTGCTCGGGTAGACATATTGGGCTGTGTCCCTATTTTCCACACAAGTCCATCTGCTTAGACTTGGCCTTTTTGAAATGATGCGTAAAGACTTGAAAAACACGAAGCAATGAAAATGCAAAGACGAAATAAAAGTTGAATTGAGTTTGTCAGAACATTCTCATCGTAATATGTCCAAGTCGGGATATGAAAAAGCGAAGAAGAGTGGACAAGGGTCTCCTGACCGAGGTGTACTTCGGTGAGAAGCCCATTTCCTTCGGTGTCTCCATGCCTCCTCACGTCAGCTTACTAATTACCCGACTTGACATGTTCCGTATAGGAGAGGCCATCGCACCAAAGTCAAATTTCGAACCAAACTCCACAAGTGAATGCAGATATATCCATGGGTATTTTGTATTTGAGAAGAAGAAAAAAAAAGAAAAGAGAAGAAGATAGTCTATGCTACGATATGCCCATCTCTATGCCTATATAAGGTACCAACAACGCGGCCTTCCATTTTCCAAAAGCTATCTAGAATGATTTGGTAGATTCACCTGCGTATATGGCGTAAAACACATCACATTTCATAACCACGTCCATTCCGCGAGATCATTGCCTTCATATCATCACATCACCACGTATCCGGTCCAAAGTGCCCTCCCTCCGGCACGGTCTTATAAGGGCAGGCCTGCCAGTCGCAGCCCTGTTTGTACACCTCGGTCCCCCACCACCTGAAACTGTCGACAACGCCGGGATATATGAACCCAAAAAAGACAACAATGATGCCGAGCGCCAGGCCCGAGTCGAGCGCGGCGCTCATGGTCATGGTATACTTGGACCACCACGCGCCGGCGCGCCGCTTGACGTGGTAGTTGAAGATGTAGCACACAAGCGCCCACACGGAGAAGTTGAGCCCCGTCGCGGGCGGGATCCACGACATGGACCCGAACATGAGCGGCAGGTTGACCTTGCGCACGATGCTGTTCTTCCGGTCCCGGCTGTACATCCACAGCGGTATGGGCAGCACCGCCCCCAGGAGGAAGAACCAGACGAGCGACCGGTACGTCGCGTTCGGGCCGAAGAACTCCTCCGGCCCCACCACGCCCCAGAGCACCGAGCCGTTGAAGTGCACCCGCGCGAGCGGACAGGTGAAGCCGTTGACGGCCTCGCTCGTGCACAGGCCCGACACGTTCGCGAACATCCAGTTCAGCACGACGATCTGCGTCACGGATGACACGATGGTGGCCGCCATTTGTACCGTGAACATGATGCGCGGCGGGATCTTCATGTAGTGGCCCAGTTTAAGATCCGATGCGAACTTGATGCCCTGCGCCGAGGAGATGTACCCGTACGTCACGAAGACCATGTTCGCGATGGGTCGGCCGGGGAACACGGCCCCACAAATGAGTTGGCAGATTAGGTAGATGCTGCTGTGTTGGTTGGTAACGGCCATGATTATGCCGTTCGGGATGAAGAAGATGGCGCAGATGGCTAGAGCCAACAGCAGACCGTACCAAGGTAAATGGATCGGATAGCTGATGGGAGATGACCCATTCGGTAAGCAGGGTGCCGTGAGGAAGAAGACGACAAAAAGAAGAAATAATTTCTTTTTTAAAAAACAAAATAGAAAAAGAGAAAGGACATGGACACCGACTCACTATTCGACGACAAAAATACCTATTGCCAGCATAATGACAAAGGTCAACAGATACCATGTCATGGGGGCGTCTTTGTATCTTTTCATCAGCCGATAGTGGACGTCCTCGTTAAACAGGAGATGACCCTCCAGCCGCGATGGTGGGGCCTGCGAACCCCGTGAGAACGACCCCGCGCTGCCGGGTCTCCCGGTTCCCCCGGGTCCTTCTTGGGTGGAGAGAGGTTGATACGATGCCTTGCCTTCGTCGCGTGCCTCTCTCCAAGCGGTCCTCCCTGTTTCCCAAATCTCTTTGCCATGCCAGCACGCTGTGTGCGTGAGCAGCGCGGCCAGGCCGGCGAACTGGAGCCCGTAGCTCAGTACGTAGGTGATGGGCAGGAAGACCCTGCTGTACTCCTTATACGACTCTCGGTCAAAGAGGAAATCGTCGGTAAGAATCTTCGTCACGTTATAGACGGAGCCGGTGTTGTCAAAGACGGCGGCGGATATGATGGGTATGTAGGAGGAGTAGAAGAGGTTGAGGTAGTAGGCAATGGGAGCGATGAGCCACATGACGACGAACAGGCCGCCGACGACGTTGACGGCGGCCCAAAAAGGCACGAGGAGCGGGGAACCGATGTAAGTGACCTGGGCCCAGTCGAAGGTCATGGGGAAAAGACCGAGCCCGGAGACGACACCGAACAAGTTGGCCACAACGACGTTTTTGGGCGCGAACCAGGTGACGACGTTGAAGTAGCTCAGGCAGGGCATCAGCAGGCCCGGCAGGAAGTAGAAGGTGAATGCGCTGCCGAAAACGAAGTAGAAGAACTTCCACCTCGAGATGGTCCAGCCGTTGGCGGGTTTGTTTTCCTCCTTATGGAGGGTGGAAAACATGGCGGCCGACATGAGGGTACCGGGCCAAACCATGCCACCGGGCCGCACCAAGAAGCGGCGGGCGAGGCCGGCGAAGGCATATCCCAAGGTCTGGGTGGATAAGGTCAGGAGCACCTGGTAGGGAATGGTGGCTTCCTGATTGTAGAATTTGGTTTGCTCGACGATGACGTCGGTCGCAAAGGCGAAGCCGAAGGAGACGTTGCTGCTCACGTAGACGCACGTGTGCTCCTTCTTATTCCACCGGCCCTGCGCCAGCCAGAGACGCAAGCGACTCCCCATCGTCCTTCTCTCGGGGTGGGGGGAGGCGGGGGAGGCGCGCAGGCCGTCTATGAACTCTTGCGGCGGATCGGTGGGGCGTTTGAAGAGGTAATCCCACAAGAGACCGAGCGGGTGAACCAACAACAAGGCGATGACGGGAGTTATGGAAACGCTGGGGTATCGCAAAGAAAAAAAGAGATTCGTGGACGAGCCGAGAATGGAGAAGAGAATGGACAGGGTCCACATGCGCGGGGTGTTTATGGAGAGGGTGATGTTGTCGCTTGGGGGGACGGAGGCCCTCACTATGTCGTGAGGGGAGTCATCGAGGGACGGTTCGTCGCCGCGGTCGCTGTCGGCGTAGTCGTAGTCGTAGCCTGGGTACAAGTCCTCGTCTTCGTCTCCGGCGTCAGACTTGAAATCCCGAAAGGCGTCGCTGGGCATGGCGATGTGGCCGACACCAAAGCGACTCTCCGGGCCGTTACCCAGGGCGGCGGTATCGAGATCCTCGGAGATGCGCGAGGTTTGCCTTGAGAGCGTATTGCCCCTGGACGATTCGGACCTCGTAGTGCTGACATCCCGGAGGAGATGGGTGTCGCCGGACTGGGATTCGCTCTCTGACGGAGACGCATCATGGCCCGTTGCCTGAGAGAGAGACCCGTACGAGACTTTGCGCCCGGAGGACCGCAAGAGGGAAGGTTTTGAGCGCATGGGGCAGTCGGACTCCGTTCGGGCGGGGCGGGAGCACGAGGAACGTCTTTGGTCTATCGTGACGTCGGCGTCTACACCATGTTCTATAGGCGCCGTGGTCGTCGAGGAGGAGGTAAGGGTCGGGACCTCGACCCGAGCCAGGAGAGAATGCGAGACGGGCTCGAACTTTGGCTCCCTCGAATGGGAGGAAGGTCGAGTACGACAATCTGGGTCGGTTTCCGGTTCGAGTTCGGAGGATTCGAAATCAGAAGTGCTGGCTGGCGGTCGACGGCCGCGTTGGCCTAGAGGCCGAAGAGGAACGGGATCAGGATCGCCGGGGTTCGAAGGTTGTAAAGGCGGACTCGCAAGCTCGGACGAAGTTCGGAGGTCGGTGGAAGGGGAGACAGGAGGGGAAGAGAGCAAGTAAGCAGAAGAAACATTGACGTTATTAGCAGGCTCCCTTCCATCAATCATGGCATTAGCCCAGCTAGAAAGAGCAGGGCTGGGTGGTTGGTTGTTAAGGGTGTGGACCGTGTGGTGGGGGGAATCGTTCTGAGCTTCGCTCCCCCACCGTCGCGGGTTTCGCGAATGGATCGGCAGAGAGGAAGAGAAAGAGGTTACAGACAGCAGCGAATGGATGCTATGCTATGGCTGCAGATGCAGATGCATGTGCAGAATGTTGCGGTGTGTTAGTGGTCGGTGATCGGATGAAGGGGATTGGGGCGTTCAAGGAGCCAGGTCGAGGGCTCAGATGGAAGAGACGAGGCAAGAGACGTTTGTCGCGAGTGGATTCCTCGTGCCAACCCCAACATTGTGGAGATCCGGGGATACTTGTAGATACCTACGGAGGTGGCTTGAGTGGTAGCAGGCCGCAACGGTCTTGCCTGCCGCCTTAATTAGTTATTGCTTTTATGGACCTATCTGCCGCTAAAACGCCAAAGGTACCGGTGTGAAGTCTCTGGTGCTTGGCCACCCAGCACGCGAACATATCCCTGTAATCGATGTACCTAAGGGCAGGAACTACCTCAGATTACAGGTTTTAGAACTTCCGACGACGATCATCCGACTAAAACTAAAAAGAAAAAGAAAAAGAAAAAGAAAAAGAAAAAGAAAAAGAAAAAGAAAAGGAAAAGGAAAATAATCGAAGACTTCACAGGGGATTCCTACCTTACGTGAAATTCCCTACGGAGTAAACATGTAATCCAGACGCCCGCCGCTACTCCGAAAGGAAAACACCTAGTAGGTATACGGAATACAAAAATAAGGTACCTCGTTGGGCGAACCCGTCCCTCCCGAGGGGATAGACAGGGAAGGGCCTGTCAAGCTGGCTACAAGGGCGTCATTTCGTCACTGGCTAACTGTGAAAGGCGAAGAGGCCAGTCTTGGCTTGTCGTTAACCGCAGACCGAGGTCGCCGGGTGCAAATCTTCAGAGAGGGGTATGTGCTGTCTTATTGCCTTACCGCCGGTCTGTGGCATCATGTTCTCGAGGGAGAGACACCGCTCAGTGTTAGTCGCGGATTACCTCCAAGCAACGCTGGGTGCACCCATGGCTCATGACCAGGGAGAGCCAACTTCAACGTTGCATTGCAGAGAAACGCATGGGAAGTCGCATATGACGTGCCGGGAACTAGCTGAGATGCAACTTCAATCACGATAAACGACGGAATCAGCTCGATTTTTTTCTGTCTCGATTCCATAATCTCTCCGTCCCTCAATGCCCCCGGCTCTCGCTTCCATGGAATAACAGGATAACAGGATCAACAAACGGCCATCCTCGACACGTTCTCGGCTACACGACGGGAATTCGGCCACTTGTTGCAATTTACCGGTGGAAAACAGAGAGGAAAAAAGGACATGAAGAAAAAGAAAGGCAAGTAGGTAGAAAGAGGAAGAGATTCGTTCACTCTCTTCCCTTCTTTATATTGAATATTCCTTCAACAGCCTGCATCCATTGCAATGGACCAGAATCGGACTCGAGCGCAAATGTATCAAAGCGAGACATGACTTGGATCTCTTACCTAGTCATATAGGGCTTCATTGCCAACCTTATGAATATTCCAACATATGAATATCTCCCATACCCAGCCATCCCAAGCAATCTGTTTGAAGTGTACTGTCGTACAAATACTATACAAAGAGGCTTGTTTTCCGCTGGGTGGCTACGCGATAAGATGGCGTTATGTAATGGTATATCGACCGGAGTAGTCAGCAGAGTCGTGTCTCGATGGTCTGTACATGTACCTTTATTTCAGTTATTAGTCAGCTTACCATATCCACCCGTTTCAATAACCGACGTCTCACAACTTCTTATCATCTCTCATCCCCTACTCATCCCTCATCTGTCACCTCGTCTTTTCGCTCTTTATACTAATAGCTACGAGCCTGCATTGATGCCTTGGGCTCGCTCTTTATCTATTTCATGGATGCAGAGCTGGTTTATGCTATCACTTAACCCTAAAATCCCCGCCTCCCTCGGTGACTCCGGCGGTCTGTCGCCATCTCGAAGACAGGAAGTCATCTGGCGTGTCGGTCATCGACTCATCGGTAATCATCTACCGGGGTCTCTCGACTCGTGTCCAATATCAATATTAGAGTGGATTAGTGATAGAAGAGCCCTCCATCGGCAACGCCGGAAACCAACGAAGCACCATGGGCAACCGACAGACAAGGAAATCACGCGTCCTCCCCATGAATCCGCTAACCCCGAACATCTCCCGCTGTCGAGGGCGAGCCGTTGTATGACATGCAACGTGCCTCCATGTTGCACAGAACGAGACCGGCCACCGTCCCGTTCTCAGGTCAGTAGCACCGCACTTGGAACCACTGAGTCTCCGCAACAGGAAACTTGAGCTTCATCGTCTGCCACCCTTTCTTTCCTCGCTAGGGGGCATGACGCCCTTGTACCCAGCATGCGTACCTATCATAGCTACTCTTTTCTTTGTTCTTATTCCTCTGTCTACAGCGAGTCTCGATACAGGGCCGATGTTATGGCGAAGTTCCGACGCTACGTCACATTAAAGGCGCTGACGCGGCGGCATAAAGCGGAATTGAGTTCATGGTTCGGGCCCGAATTCTTTTTCAACCGATCGACATCACAAGCGAACTGCTCCCGAGAAAGAATATCTTTGTTCACGGTCCTAAGGAGTGATTCCAGTCTTCAGGCCAAAAGTGCACCATCAGGTCCTGCACCTACGCCTCCCGCTTTGATGGCGTACAGTCCCAACCGCACTTCTCCGAGTAAGCGTAAGGGCTGTAAGGGCAACAGACTCCGGCATTGATATACCATTCGTCGCAACTCGCAACCTCAAACTCCCCTTCCCCGGTTGCACTACCTGCACGCATGTGGTAGTCACAGCCATCTCCTGTCATTTTCTGCGGTGTCACCGAGACAAATTCGCTGTCATCTGAAACCTTGACAACTTCCCCTTTCCCCCAGAGGACGGGAGAACGGCCCATCGAAAGAATCCAGGTCTTCCGATCCGGATCTAGGAAACCAACTCAAGTGTTTCCATTTCCTAAACTCGCTCCCTTCGTCGCAGGTGACGTGCTTTGCCCGCCATCGTCAGGATCTGGGGGGACTTCGGACCATTCGCCTGTTTACGGAAAGGGAAATTGTGTTGCCTCGTCCTGTTCGAAGCAGTGTCACGGGCGTGGTCACGCATCGACTGCGTCGTTCTTCGCTATAGCCGTCGCCCTGTCCGACAGTGTCGTAGAGACCAGGACTACCACGTACCTCGCCAAGAAGGCCGCATCTTCAACCCACCAACTGCGCCGAGACCCCTCGTCATCTCTTTGATCCCTTCCTTTTCTTCGTTTGTTGGATTCATCTCTAGCTTGCTCACGTCAGATCATCGGGCACATTATGCCCCGTGTGAGCTCTCCAAGTGGTACGCACGGGAACCTGCAGCAACCATGGTGTATATTCATCAATCACTCTGCATAGATGGGCAAGGGGCCATTGACTCGACTCTGACCATGAATCTGTCTGTCGGCTTACACTGCTTAATTGGTCGAGTGGCTTGCTCCGGCCTTAGCCGTGGGTGGTAGGATCTGTCAAGTCCCCTTGCTCGTCATATCTCATTGCTCCTGGCGACACACCGACTTAGATGGTTCCCGTAAATGGTACTAAGAAGTATCTCATTCCTAGTCAAGTGATCAGGCTCGGTGTGGCCAAGATGACTACAGAAAAGAGAGAACAAAAGAAAAAGGCGCTATTACTCACTGTCTCTTACTACCCTTTCTTTCTAGGCTAGAGACCACCCAAGACAAGACATGGGGAGCTGGTACTTCAGGCGAAAGACGAGCTAGGACGACTGACTGCTTGCAACCCCAGGTGAAAGGGGGCCTCTGTGCCCCTTTATCGGACATTTTCTTTTTTCTCTTCGACTTGGCCGTGCTTGTACACCGACGAGCTCGTGGGGGAAAAACAAGGGACCCGTGTCGTGACAGCTGCAGTCATCCCTTCAAGGCCGGGCCATACACAGTTTGAGAGTCCAGGACGAGGTTCTCGAAAGGCCCTAGAATCTGTCCTACGCAGGTTGTTGAGTTGACGACGGCTATGCACAGAGGGCCTCCTACGACGGGATTGGGAGACTGGTCTTTGCTGGCGTTGGCGGTCTGACGAAAAAGGGAAGGCAACCCCCCGAACTGAAGTGCCTTGGCTCTCCTGATCTGATCCTGACTCCATACGATACCAGAGTCTCGTTAGCTCTATGCCTCGAAAAAGACAGCGAGCTGGAGATCAATAGCCTCTCTATAGCCTTCTTCTTGTTTCCCCTTGCCGCCATGCTACTTCACCGGTGCGATCTCATCGACCGCCCTTCTCGGCTGTGGCCCCCTTTTTCTGTCACGGCATGAGACGCAAGGCCACGTGTGTCGAGTCAAGCCAGGATTTGGTTGAGGTCATTGACCATAGAAGGATAGAGAGTCTTTGTTCTACCATTTCAGCAAACCTGTCCGGCGAGGTGGCCAGACGGCTCGGTCAATGCGGGTAGCCGTGAGGGACACCCCCCCTCCAAGGCACGAAATCCACCCCCGTGCACCCTTCAAACACCGTGCTTTTCCCTGTTTGGGGGCCGCAGAAGACAGACCGGGCCTGTATTTGTCGTCTTCCCAGGCTCCATTTGCTGCTTCTCGCTTTGCCTTCCTCTCTCGATGCGTCATGGAGCTCGTTCACCTGTGCTCCATGCTTCCGCTTTTGATCAACATTTCATCCTGGTGACATGAAGTGAAACTTGCCGAGCCTCGATTTGGGCCGTGACTCAAGCACACGGGACGGGGCGTGTCCATATCCGCTGAAGAAAACAACAGTAAGATGAGGGCGTAGATGGGGAGAGGGGGGGAACCGGAAAACAGAAGACGGGGCACGGGAGACGGGAGACGGAAGACGGGATCAGAGGAGAAGGACCCTTTCTAGGTGTGTTCCACCCTTCCACCCCCCCCTTTGAACCACCCTCCCCCCATTTACCTGCATAGATCTTTTCTGCTCAAGCTTCCATCGTTCGGTCAAGGGGCGGAGAAAAGGCAAGATTTGGGAGTTTGGGAGTGCGTGCCCCCGATGTTGTTTGATACATACGGCTGGCCCCCTCCTAAGCCGGAAAGACGACTCCTTGCTGGCAGCACCCGGTGGTGGGAGATGCTTCAGTTCGAACGCAATCCGCTTTCTTCGCAACAAACGTCGCTTTTCCCTTCGTGAATGGGGCATCAGCATGCCCGAGGAATAGCAATATTTAGACGGGGACCGCCCTTGGCGAGTAGTTCTTCCTATCTCGGGCCTTCTTCCTCGTCTTCGTCACCTATCATCCGGTAGCCCTTCCTCGATCCCTGGTCGGAAAAGTAGCGGTGGGCTATCACAAACGGATTACACCGTTCTGAGAGGTTCGATTCCAAGACAGCTGGACAAAGGAGTTCTGCACCGAGAGCACCGACAACCCTTCAGCAAAAGCGCCGGCCGCCGATTCTTCGTCACAGTACCGCTGGAAGAGGTGAACCTTTACTGTCTAAGAAAGAACCATCTCGGAAAAGCCCCCTCCCCCTTGACCCCTTGTCCTGGTCAACTCTTAGTCCGTTCACACACGCCGCTTGGGTGTTCTTCCGCCAGTTGAGGTTCTGGGGTACCAAAGGGGACAACAGGTGTTTGTCCACTGCTAAAAGGGCACCGGATAACTCTCCTTTTTTTTTTTTTTTCTTTTTGTTTTTCCTTTTTTTCTTCTTTCTATTCGTACCCTTCTCGTCCCGGCCTCGCTGTCCCTGCAGAGTCTTGTCTTAAATCGTTCCACCGCCTCTCCTTCTCTTCCCCCTCCAGGGCCACCATTCCGTCTGAGGAAGAGTTCATCCGTCATCCTAGCAGAGACCGGGTTCTCCAAGTTTCTCTATCGTGCAAGATACATACATTGCATTCAAGACATTGACGCCTGACGGTCCAGCCTAACCAGCAACACAGGACACAGGACACAGGACATCATGCTGTCGTTATCTTCTTTACTTAACCCTACGCCGCCGAGGCCTCCTCCTCATGCTCCTCCTCTCCCCGTGCCCCAGTTCCTGCCCAGTCCTACGATCTCGTCACCAGCTACCTCGTACACGGACGAAGTGTCGTCGTCTCGACTCGACCGGGGGCCCGTTTTCACCAAGTTCAAGATGCCCAAGGACTCGGTTTCCATATCCAAATCCAAACCCCGGGGCACGATCAACTTCTATCCGTTTGAGGATGTCGACGAGGCCGCTCTTCAGGAGATCCGGAGGTTCCGCGTCACCCCTTTCGGACAGATACAGAACTCCTGCGCCCATATTCCATACAACAGCGGGAAGAAGGACTTTTACGAGAAGACAGGCCGGGAGAGCTTCGAAGGTACGCTACAAACGGAGAAGGATGGAAAATACAAATAAAAGCGAAGCAAAGCAAAGCACAAGAGAGGGGAAAGTAACAACGGACTTTTTACTGATTTGGTTTTTCATTTTTTAGTATTCAAGTACGACTTCAGAGTACCAGGGAGCGACGCCGAGTACACCGTCATGTGGGATTACAATGTTGGTCTCGTTCGCATGACTCCCTTCTTCAAGTGCTGCAAATATGGCAAGGTAAAGAAAACCAAAGTGGCAGACTGTCTATGTACTGTCTTCAATGCAACTAACACATTCTGACAGACCGTACCAGCGAAGATGCTAAGCATGAACCCCGGCCTCAAGGACGTTACGCACAGCATAACAGGCGGTGCCATCTCAGCGCAAGGTACGTCAAGGCAGGCGGGCTTCTGGACACGTTGTTAGAAGACATGAAGAAATGTCCTAATCAAGCTCTTCGCCAGGTTACTGGATGCCTTATAAGTGCGCCAAGGCTGTTTGTGCTACGTTCTGTTACGAGATTGCAGGTGCCCTGATTCCCATCTTCGGACCCTCGTTCCCAGCACGGTGTATCCCCCCCGGGGCACCCGACTTTCAACGTATGATTATCGACCCTCGCATCATCTACGAAGCGCAGAGAGAAGCAGAGATATGGCGGCGCGATTATCACCGGGGAACCATTTCGAGCGGCGTCGGGTACACCAGCCTCCCCGCTCCAACTCCAAGCCCGGGGCGGTCAGATCGCCGGCCGGTACGGGCGATGCGCGAAACGGAACGTCGCTTACGCGTAGACACGCGTATGCTCAGCCTCAGCACTTACAGCACTGACACAGATGCCGACGGGCATCTTTCAGGCCCCGACTCGGCATCGAGCTCCAGCTCCGGCCCACCGGGATACGCCTACCAGTACCAGCCAGTGCCCCAAGTCCCGGACCACCGACATGGTTCGGGCTGGACAGCCGTCAACCCTACATACCCTCCGACGACGGTGCCTCCATCACATCAGCCTCCCAGTATGTTCCGTGACCACCACCACCATCATCATCAGCAGCAGCAGGGATATCAGCAGCCACCACCCAACCCATTACTCAGCGCTGTGCCGCGATTCGCACCACCGCAGCTTCCTCTCTCCTTCCATCACACGCTTTCCCACCACCCGCCAACGCAAGGGCACAGACACGGGCATACGCACGCGCCCCGAAGCCAGCCGTCATCGCTACCCCGGACCACTTGGCCTGCGAAACGGCCGATCGTCCACGACGACCTCGATCAGGGGTACGAAGGCGGGGAGAGCCAAAGGGGAAGCCCGGCGCTGGAATACATTGCACAGAAGCGGAGAGAGGAGGAGAGGGGCCAGGGCCAGGGTCAGGGTCAGGGTCAGGGTCCGCCGGGGCTGGACCTCGCGGAAAAGAAGGCGGCGCTGCTTTTGATGAATCTAAGCGTCCAGGACCAGGTTTTGGCGGCGGCGGCGGCGGGAGAATGCAGCGGAGGCGGACGAAAAGAAAATGGCGAGGGGTCCCCGGATTCACATCGAAGTAAGCGGAGAAGAGCTACGTCTTTTTGATGGGGGGGGGGGGGGTCATGACTCTCGCACGTTTTCTCTGTGTCTCCTTTTTTCCCTCTTCTTCTTTTTGTCTCTTTTCTTTTCGTTTCTCCCCCCCCACGTTGAAGTTCTCGGGGGGTTCGCCGAACATACCGGGTTGCATAAGGTGGGAATAGAACGACGAGACTCAGGTCAGGATGGATTGGAGTTCAAGGGTTTGTTTTTTTCGTTCATTGGAGTAGGGAGACGGTCTTTGCTATTTCTACGAGCTTACGACCTGCACAGCTTTACACACATAAGGCAACGAGTCTGGCTTGGCTTACATACTTGGACGGCAAGGTACGTTGCCTTTTGAAAAGGAGGGGAGGGAGATTGGAAGGGGAGATTGGCTGTCTGTTAAGGAAAACCGGAGTTTGGAGAATTGTTGAAGTGAAGATGTCTATCGACATGATAGTCGGCGGCAAGTGGAAATCCTTTTAGTTAACTTAACCCCTTCTTTTCACGTCCTGGCAGCCGTCCTTGACTTGTAATCCTCTACCCACGAAGCAGCCTTCTCCTTGGGCAAGACAAACACCTTCAAAACGTCGTCCACAATCTCAACATTGCCCGTCCCGAGAAGCTTCAACAACGGCACGCGCTTCCCCCACTTGACAAGCCCGCCACCCATCTTCTCAACAAAACACTCCACCCGGTCCACGGAAGCGTACCCCCCCTTGCCATCCCAAGGCGGGGGAAGCATATAGCCAAGATGGTCTCCAAGAGAATCCGCCTCCCCGAAAGCAGCAACAAAGTCCGACTCGAGCTCGAGCGGATAGAGGACAACAACCGGCACGACGAGAGAACTACGCGGATCTTCCTCGTCGGGGACGAGCTTGACGCGCGCATCCCCCATCTCGGGGTCCGCCCCCGTGCTGCGCGTGCGGACGTTCCTCGCCGCCAGCGCCGCCCTCAGGGTAGCGGCCTTCCTCCGCTGCCTCGCCTTGCGCTCCTCCTCGGCGCGCCGTTGGGCCTCGGCGTTTGCCTTGGCGGCGGCGATGTCGGCGGCGGCTTTGCGCAGGGCGCTGTTGGCGCCGTCGACGCGGAGACCGTGGGCGCACGCGTCTTCGGCCTCGTCGAGCCGGCCTACGGCGAGGAGGGCGCGGGCGGAGCGGAAGTAGGCTTTGGTGTTGAGCGGGTTGATGCGCAGGGCGTGGCCGCCGTCGAGCCAGCAGGCGCGGTAGTTTCGGAGTTCCAGCGCGCAGGCGGCACGGTTCGCGTACAGGGCTTCTAGCGCTGCGAGTTGTTGTCGGATGTCTTCTTCCGAGTCTGGGACGTCGACTTCGACTTCGACTTCGACCACCTCTTCCGTTTCTGGCGCTCCTGTTTTGTTCTCGGCTGGTGACGTTGTCGTCGTTGTCGTCTCCCTCTCCCTCTCCCTCTTCTGCTTCTCCTTTCTCGTCTCCTTGTGAGTCGTCGTCTCCCCCTTCCTGCGCAGACGATCGAGCGGCGCAAGCAGATCGATGGCCTTGGTGTAATGCTCTCGCGCGTCGGCGAAGCGGCGGAACTTAAAACACTCGTTCCCCTGGTCCTTGAAGCTGACGGCGTTCTCAAGCGGCGTGCCCTCGTAGGCGAGAGCTTGGAGCGCCGCCACGTGCTCGCTCTCCTCGTCCAGCTCTGTCATGAACAGGGGCGACTTTTGCAGCTCCGCAAAGACCTCGTCTACCGTCTTAGTCCGGGGGGCTGCAGGGCCGACAACCGTCGGGGAGGTCGATGACGAGTCCGGCGCCTTTTGTTGCTCTTCTAACGCTGCGCCCTCCATCTCGTCGGCACAGTTTGTTGGGATTCGAAGGATGGTGAGATTTTCGAAATGGCGGGTTGAAAAGGGCCCGTCGTCGGATTCAGTGACCGAGTTGATTTCTCCTCTCCTCTTTTGCGCCTTTTTGTAACTCGAGCTGATCTCGATAATAATATCTTCCAGGATCAGCGTGTTCCGGGGCCAGTGGGAAACATAAAATAGAAAGAAATGACTCTTGTTCACTGAAATGGTAATATCTTTCTTTCGCTTTCGTTTTGTAAGTGTATTGGGCTGAGATAAAGTGAGATAAATTTCTTGATGGTCTTAGACGCAAAGGTGAAGGAAGTGTGAAGTTAAAGACGGGGCATTATGGCGAATCTAATTGGTCATAATTCTGCTCAACTCCATCCAATAGTATTTTTTGTATTTTTTGTATTTTTTGCATTGTTTGTATTTTTGTATTTTTGTATTTTTGTATTTTTGTATTTTTGTATTTTTGTATTTTTGTATTTTTGTATTTTTGTATTTTTGTATTTTTGTAT